GGACGGAAGGACCTCAGGTCGGTAGGTCCTCAAGACGGAAGGACCTCAAGTCGGAAGGTTTTCAGGTCGGGAAGTCCTCAAGACGGAAAGACCTCAAGTCGGAAGGTTTTCAGGTCGGGAGGTCCTCAAGACGGAAAGACCTCAAGTCGGAAGGTTTTCAGGTCGGGAAGTCCTCAAGGCGGAAAGACCTCAAGTCGGAAGGTTTTCAGGTCGGGAGGTCCTCAGGACGGAAAGACCTCAAGTCGGAAGGTTTTCAGGTCGGGAAGTCCTCAAGGCGGAAAGACCTCAAGTCGGAAGGTTTTCAGGTCGGGAAGTCCTCAAGGCGGAAAGACCTCAAGCCAGATGGTTCGCAAGTCGGGAGGATTGGCGGTCGGACCCATACTATTGTAGATTGGCAGTCGGGCCAAAAGAGCGGAAGGTCTGTGGTCGGCTCAAGGAGTGAAATATAGGGAATTATTGGTCTGCTGAGGACACGTGTCAGCATAAGAAAGGTTGGAAGACGGTTGAGAAGGAGATGTTGTAACCGTTCGGGTGACGGTTTTCAGTACGGTTTCCCAGGGAATATTTAAGGATTTGGGTCATCATTTGGCAAGGGATCTTCAATCAACTTCAACAAAGCAAAGTCAGATTTGGGGATCACCACTTTAAATTTCAGTCTTTTATTTTCCAGTTTATTTTCTGTACGTTACAGTGTTTAGAGATTCCTAATCTCAGGCACTAATTAATCAAGTTTAAGGATATTTTCTATATCTTTGAATTTTACTTTATTTTTGTTGAAAAATTACATCAACACAAATTATTTAGTATTTATTTTAAGACAAAAGTTAAAATAGTGCGGTTAGAATGCATGATCATAGATAATTCCATTCATCAAATTTTATTTTTAACTCCATTTTTTATTTTTTATTTTTGCCACTATAAACATATATTTTTGTTATCCACTATATATATATTATTTTAATTATTCTGTTCAAGGGTGGGCAAAAAAATCAAATCGAATCGTCGAATCGCCTGAATCGAATCGAATCGAATTTTCGGTTAACCGAGCAAATTCAGTTTGAATACAAATACTGCATATTTGATATTTGTTCGGTTCGGTTCGGTTTCGGTTTTTCATATTTTATTCGGTTCGGTTAACCGAACCGAATATATTTATGTATTTATATTATTATATTTTAAAATTTATATTAATAATTATATACGGTTCGGTTTCGGTTCGGATATTTGAAATATTTGAAAATATTTTTTATTTAATTAGAATTTTAATTTTTTTTTATATATTTTTTCTTAATTTCGATTCGGTTCGAGTTATTTGCAAATACTACAAATATTTTCGGTTAACCGAAATTTTCGGTTCGGATACGGTTTGAGGTTTCGGATATTTGTTCGGTTCGGTTCGGTTCGGTTATCAAATACCTGCATATTTGCAAATAACCGAACCGTGTCCACCCCTAATTATGTTTATTTAACATTTTTCAATAAAATAATTTCTCATAAATTTATTGAAAAATATAAATACACAGTTAATATAATATATACATTTATCAATTTATAAAAACATAATTATTCAACACAAAATATTATTTTTTATATTACCAACACAGTTTCATACAAAAAAAAAAAAAATCAATTCATCTAACAATCATACATTAGTATTAACTTTCACACAAATTAAAAATATATTATTACATATATATAAAGTAGAAATGATAAAATATCATAATTATCTTACACATTTCACTGACTAATAAAATATTAGTATTATTTTTTTTTAATATAATAAAAAAATCACAAAATGATAATTCTTGGTGCCCCAATTGAGCTTGTTCTATTCTATTTTTATATTAAAATCAGTACTATTTATATTATACAATATTTTTAATAAAAATATATTATTATTATTATTATTTTTTCACAAAATATCACATTAAAATACTACTACATAAACAAAAAAATTAAATCTACGTCACATTTTAAATCAATGTCAAATCACAACCAAACAAACATCTTCCATTTAAAATTCATATAGTAATAATTTTAAGAATTTCCCATGATTTTTTTTTATCCGTCTATATAATAATAATACTCACTCCGTCTGTATGCTACACTGTAGACACAATATTTTAGGAAGTGTGCAATTAGTAAATAATTAAGAATGTATTTAGTGAAAATAATTATCCTATAATATAAATAATTATAAATTAAAATTATAATAAGTAATTAGTTTAATTAAAATTAAAAAAAAATAAATTAAAAAGTTTAAAATGAGATTAAAGTGTGTAATCATTTTTTTTAAAAAAAAAGTGACATGAAATATGGGACGGACAGAAACGGCAATGTGGACATGGTACGTGGGACGGATAGAGTAATAAAGGTTAAGGGTAATACCCTAATAGCAATCGGAAATATCTTTAATTTTTTAAATAAAAATGTTTTCATATATAATATTTTGAATGAAAATTATTATTATTTTTTAAAAATAATTATAAATTACGGTTCGAAAATAAAATAAAATAAACACTAAAATACATAATATGATGCTTCTCCTCACACCAGCATATATATATATATATATATATATATGAATAAAATAAATAAATATTCATACCAACTGACATTTCTCATAAAATGCAACAGCTCTGCAAGATATATTATTTAAACAAATTCTCCTTTTATTTTTATTTTCCCTTTCTCATAAAAGTTAGACCCAACTTGATTTCAATTCTCCTCACCAATTTTAATTTAAAAATAAAAAGAAACTCATCACCACACTTATTGCTCCATAATAATTGCTATTATATATTATTTAAATATGTAAACATATAATAAATTTTTTATTTTATATAATGTATATTACTCTCTCCGCCCCGCATAATTTGTCTATTTTATATTTTCGTATGTCCCACATAACTTGTTCTTTTGGAAATATAATTATATCCTTTAATCGTATTTTAAATTTTATAATTTTAATTAAACTATTTATTTATCTTAATCTTAATCTACAATTATTTTTACTAATACACTTTTTAATTATTTACTAATTATATTTTACCTAAATTCTCGTGTCGACGGTAATACACCCATATTACATAGAACGGAGGGAGTAATAAATATATATTAAAACATAATTTGTATAAGGATAAACTGTTCTTTTAGTCCCGTAACTAGATACTCTTATCATTTTAGTCCCGTAAGTGGAGCATGTCGCAAACTAGTCCCATAAGTAGAAAATTTTCGTTGTTTTAGTCCTCCGACACCGGAGATGCCCGCATGGCTCGCCGGTGGCCACGTGTCCACCAGGTGTCACGTCAGGTCAACAACATCCGGAGGACACGTAGATTTTATTTTATTTTTTTCATTTTTTTTAATATTTTTTAATTGGACCAAATTAAAAAATTAAAAATAAATTAAAAACAAATTTAAAAAAAATAAAAAAATAAAATAAAATCCACGTGTCCGCCAGGTGTCATTTACCTGGCGGAGACGTGGCCTCCGGAGAGCCACGTGGGCGTCTTCGGCGCCGGAGGACTAAAACAACGAAAATTTTTCACTTATGGGACTAATTTGCGACAGACCTTACTTCCGGAACTAAAATAATAAGAAAATCCAGTTACGAGAATAAAAAAAACAGTTTACCTACAATTATGTATTAACAAGTATATATTTGAAATAATAATTAAGGTAAATAGAGATGAGAGTGAATTAAATTAATAATTAGATGAGAACATATAGTTATATATATATATATATATATATATAAAGTATATATTTAGATTGAACAATCTTAAAAATAAGTGAAATAATACAAGTGAGACGAGTTCCGCGTATTGTTATTACTAAAACATATAAGTGAAATTTTCCAGTATGTTATTGAAGGTAAATTATACGATACTTCTTGTGTTTAATTCATTACGTAGTTTTTTTATTTTTTATTTTTTGTGTTTGAATTAAAATATACATAAAACATCATATTTATTCAAAATTAATATTTGTAACAAACACGCACACGTATAATTATGCAAGTTTATACAAATAAAACATTATACAAATAAGCACAACGATGATTTAACCAAATTAGAAAATATTTGTAAAGAACATAGCAAATAGTGATATATATATATAGCATATATTTGAATAATATCTTACATAATTACGTATAGAAAAATATAACTATATTATAATTTCAACGCAATAATAACTTGATCTAATCAGCAAGTGTCTATCAAAAAAATAACAATTATTAGTATAATATATAACACAATATATGTCATCTTTCTTGTGGCAATTTACTAATTATATTATACTCTCTCCGTCCTTTAACAATCTACCTATTTTCCATTTTCGTCTGTCTCATAGCAAATTATTCATTTCTTTTTTAATAACTTTACTATTCACCTAACATTATAAATACTCTTCTAATTTACAATATATTATACAAATGTCATTACCTTTATATCATAAAATACTAATAAGGATAATTTAGTCTTTTTACCTTTATTTCTACTACATTTCGAAAGGAGTATTGTTTTAGCTAAATATTTGATTTTTTTGACTTTTTGTAATGATTTTTTAATTTTTTATAATGAGTATTTTGACCTTTTAACTTTTGTATAAAATATTTTATATTTTTTATTATTTTTTTGAAGAATTGCAGTTGAAAAATTAATATTGGATAAGTGAGCAATTATTTTCAAAACCTAAGATTTATAATTACATTGAATGACTATATTACATTCTAAAAAAAAAAATATTGTTTTTCCCAATAAATAATTCACGTAGTGAGTAAAAACTTTTCAATGATATATACATACATATACATATATAGATATATATATATATATATTTTTCTGATACATTAATTAGAGAGTGCATTGCATCGATCAGTTCCTTCTGCAAGGCTCTGTTAGAAACTCGACTCCTCCCTCTCCTATCTCCACCTTACCCATCCCCCAATCTAAAGCTCCATTTTAATTTTAATATTCTTTTTAATTATTATAATTATTACATATATATATTTATATAAATCGAAATTCGAATCCATGGACATCAATTTCATCAAATCCGGCGGCGACGACGATCAGATGGAGATGATGATGCTGATGCAGATGGACAAGCTCCCGGACCTCGCCGCCACCTACGAGGTCCCGACAATGGAGTTCGGAAGACCAAATAATAATAATAATAATAATATTAATAACACCATATCCTTTTCCGGCGACTCGCCGCCGCTGCATCCCGCCGGCGGGAGGTGGAAAATGCAGGACTACGACTCACCGGCGGCGGCGGCGGCTCAGAAGCCGAACTCGATGGCGGCTATGCGCGAAATGATCTTCCGAATAGCCGCAATGCAGCCGATCCACATCGACCCCGAAGCCGTCAAGCCGCCGAAGCGGCGCAACGTCAAGATCTCGACGGACCCCCAGAGCGTGGCGGCGCGCCACCGCCGGGAAAGGATTAGCGAGCGGATTCGGATTCTGCAGAGACTCGTCCCCGGCGGCACGAAGATGGACACGGCGTCGATGCTCGACGAGGCTATTCATTACGTCAAGTTTTTGAAGAATCAGGTGCAGTCTCTGGAGCGCGTTGCCGCCGCGCGCCCGCCGGCGCCGCCGCCGGGAATCGGGTTTCCGGTGCCGATGTCCAGCGGGAGTTACTTTCCGGCGGCTGCTAAAGGCGGCTACCATCACCCGCCGCCGCCGAATGATCAATTTTTAGATTCGTGAAATAGCGTCGCGGCGGCGCGCCGCCGCCGCCGCCGTTTGGTGTAATGTAAAATTAATTTTGAGAGATCGGTCCCTTAGTGTATTTTTCGAGGGATTAATTAATTAAATTGTGGCATTTTGTATGTCCTAATCAAATGATTGTCACCAATTTTATTGTTATTATTATTATTATTATTATTAATATTATCATATATTCACTCTTTCCCAAAATTTTTATGTTAATTATATATAAATTGAATTTAAAAATAAAAAAATTATATATGTATATACTCAATTGGTGTAAGATATGATTTTCCTTGCAATTATCTATAAATAGAAAGGAAATCCACACTGATTGTCATGACCCATGTGCAAACTATCTCTGCAGTCCTTTTTGTCACCAAAGAAAAGGGAAAAAAATATCTAAATTAGAAACGATCCCTTAAATTTTAAGGCTTTGGTCCGGCTCATCAGTGTTTTATAATACTAATGACGCAAAACGTAAATGTGATTTTTAAAAACGGATGGAGAAAATACTTTTTTTTAAAAAACTTTGTCTACATAATAATTTTGGATACTTTGGTACTATTCAATTTTTCAAAAATATCGCATCAAATATATTTCTCTCGTAAAAGGTTATATCAATTACGGTTTTTTTTACGATTTAATTTGATATTTTTGTAAAAGTTATAAAAATATTGATGTATTTATATTTCAAAATTTTTGTAATATAAATAATCTTGTAGATTGATTATATGTTAATTACGCCCTTCATTAATGAAAAAAAAGGAACATTAATTCTAATTTCCATCTAGAAGGTCAACGGTCAAGTATCCTAGGCATGCTCCTTAAACCGGCGACCAGTAGGTCCGGTCCAACTATCGACCCAAACGACATATATGGAGTATAAGTTTGGTCAATCATATGCAAAATTAAAAAATAAATATAAACGTTTATAGAGGTTATTTTACATTAAAGCTGCTGTAGGGTGAATTAAGGCACGAGATATCCACGTGAACTACTGACAACACTGTGGTGGTGTTTCACACGTCATCGTTCACGGTGCTGCCACGTGAACGCGTCCTACGTGTCACGCCACATCATCCGGTAGAACGTATCATCAATCACTATTATTATTATTATTGTTAAATTGCTAAATGATATTTTTAACGAGTTTCAAATTCAAATTATTATTTTTTTATTTATACAGTTTTTAATAATAATATATTATTTTATTTTATTTTATAAAAATTATATCAAAATACTATTTAATTAAATATTAAATTAAAATGACAATATCAAATCAAAACCCAAAAGTAGATAAGGGTTTGTTTATTTAGTGTTTTGATTTAAATTATATTTTTTTACGTGAGATATAGAGAATCGTGTTAATAATATAAAAAAATAAAATTTTATATTAAATATTAATTTTTATGAAATGATAAAATATATATTAAAAATCGTTTTAAAAAAATGATTAGTGAACAAATCCACAAATTCTTTATAAATCACATAAAAAAAAAAAAAAAAAAAAACCTTCAACAACCTTAATTAAAATCAAAACATAACACCCAATTTATAAGCAAATACATTCACTTAGTATTTTTTAATGGAATGATTTCTCAATTACTCTATCCGTCCCACATAATTTGTTCATATTTTATATTTTCGTCCGTCCCACATAACTTATCTTTTCTATTTTTGAAAATATAATTATGCACTTTAGTCGCATTTTAAATTTTATAATTTTTTTAATTTTAATTAAACTATTTACTTATTTTAATTTTAATCTATAATTATTTTTACTAAATAATAATTATTTTTACTAATACACTTTTTAATTACTTATTAATTATACTTTATCTAAATTCGTGTATCTACAGTAATAATCTCATATTATACGGGACAGAGGGAGTATAATTTTGTAAGGCGTGAGATTCCTATATATTGATATTTATTCAAGTCGAACAGCTAATCAATTTACAAAGTATCATTACATTATTGTTGAATTGGGCTCATTTAAATGGGCTAGATTTGTCACATATGGCCCAGTTATTATTATTATACTTTATTCGTCCAACATATTACGTGATATTTTTTATTTTCGTCTGTCTCGTATATTATGTCATTTTTTCTTTTTGGAAAAAGGTATTTTATATTTTAATCTTATTTTAAAAATTATAATTTATTCCCTCCGTCCAGATTTAAGGGTCTTATTTACCTTTTGCGTCATTGTACTTAACATTAAAAATATTCTTATATTTGTATAATTTTTTACATAAATGTCATTATAATAGTATTATAAGACACTAATATAAGTATTTTTGTCATTTTTCTTTAATTTGTATTAAGTTTTTATATAATAATTAATATTCAAAGATCAATATACAAAAAGTAAATGAGACCATTAATTATAGTCGGACAGAGTTAGTATAATTTATAATTTTTTTTAAAAAAATTATTAGACTAATTAGTTATATTAATTTGTATTATATTATAATTAATTTTACTAATATATTTTTAATTATTTATTAATCATATTTCTAATGAATTCTCGTGTCTATAATAATTACGACACGATATTAGGGACAAAGGAAGTACTAAATTAGGGCATAAAAGGCCTTTGAGGGAGCCATTCTTGAAAAGTTCCACAAAAAAGGAAAAGGAAAAAAAAAAAAAAAAAAAAAAAGAAAAGAATATTGTCACAAATTCATGAACTAGAATTCAATGAAGATGTCATAAAGTGACAAGTGAAGATAAATAAAAATATATTTAGAATAATATGGGATGGATTCACTTGTCCTCTTACAAGTGCAAAGGGCCCACAAAATTTTTTGGTGTTACCATACACAACTATTTGATTCCAATAATTTTTATTTTATTTTTAAAGAAAATATGTTTAGTATTAAGGGTTACAATTATTTTTTGCGTCATTGTAGTTAATATTAAAAATATTTTTATATTTGTATAATTTTTTTTTTTTTGTATAAATGTCCTTCTATTAGTATTATAAGACACTGGTAGAAGTATTTTTACAATTTTTTTTTTAATTTATACTATATTTTGATATAATAATTAATATTCAAATATCAATACGTAAAAAGTAAATGAAATTCTTAGAGTCGAACAAAGATAGTATATAATAAAGTTTGTTGGAGATCATCTTCAACGCTGCATTCTATTTATCCACTAAGTACAGTGAAAATATATTTGATATATTGTAATTTGCTTCAACCACAAATTTTTATTTTTATTTAAAAAATATATATTTTTACTTAAAAATATATTCATTTTTTTTTTTATCACATCACATTTGATCAATATATATATATATTAAAAATTTTAGTGGCCAATTTTGTTTCGATTCATTTTTTCTTTTTGTCCACCTCATTGCAAATTCTCGTTGACTCATAAAATATATATATATATATATATTTTTTGGACCAATAATATTTTATGATGAATGTTAACTTTTCGTTAAGAATCATGTAAGTACAAATTTTATTGTGCAAATAAATTCATTATTTCTCTCTTTTTGCCCTTAGTGTATATATAATTTATAAAAATATTATTTCAAATACAAATAAAGGATTACAATGATTACAAAACTATATAAGTAATCATATAAGTGGATTTGTTTGTTGGCATGAGAGTTGGATTTTAGAATTTGAATAATTAAAATTTAAATTAAAAGAATTGTTTAATATAATATAAATAAGTGTTTGAAATGATATTGTAGTCTACCGATAAAGTTTCGATCTTTATCGAACGATGTTGATGAGACGTCTTGAATATAAAATTAATTTTTAATATAAAAAAAATAAAAATATATATTTAATTTGATAATTTTGAAAAAATTAATTTGTAATTAATAAAATTCAAATTAAAAATCCAATGCACTTTGGAGAAAATACTCCATGCTCTCTCTCTCTCTATATATATATATATATATATATAATGTTATTACAAACAGTTCTGTCCAGAGGGAGGACAAAATCATTTTTTTTTTTTACCGATTCAATGTGATTTTTTATTTATTCACAGTACATTCTGAAAAAAAAAAAAAAAGATAGAAAATTTAAATGTTTTAGAAAAAATTTCAACAAAATTATATAAGATTTAATATATTTTTATTATAAAAAATTTAAAAACTAAAAATATAAATCAACAAACGAATTAAATTTTATAATTTTTATATTACAAAATAAAAATTTAAGAGATACAAATTACTATAAAATATATTATTTTATTATTTTTTAAATAAAAAATACATATATTTTGAAGGTTGAGGAGTCCATGCAAAACATATTGGTAGTTTATTGAATGTTGGTAGATTTGATTGGATTTGATATAGATTTGGATGAGTCGAATAAATGGCTTTTAGTGATGAATGAACATTCATACTACCAAAATTATATATATATATATATAAAAAAAAGTTCCATTCAAATATTTTTAGAATTTTTTGACACTATTTATTACCAATAATTTTTTTTTATTTTATTTTTTAACATCATCCAATCCAATATTTATGTCACCGCCCATCAAGGGACAAGAGACTAGGGTATGATTGGAACCGAGACCAGATCAAAATAAATATTATTTATTTCGTTTCAATACAATAGTCTTATTTACTATTTTTGTCCGTTTTAAAACAATAGTTTCATTTCCATAAATATTCATATCACCATAAAATTATTCCTATTTTTTTTTTATTACTACACAAATATCACTATTTTTTATACTAATACACTCACAAGAGCAAAAACGTCAATATAATATTGATATTCTTTAAATATCGTGTCCAACTCAAATAACAACGTCATTTTGGGAGCGGAGGAAGTATTATATCGTGTCCAACTCAAATAACAACGTCATTTTGGGAGCGGAGGAAGTATTAGATCTCAAATGTAAACCGGATTTGATTAGACCTGATAGATTTGATGTATTTTTACAATTTTTATTTCAACTTGGACAAAAACCCAACCTACATCAAAATTAATCTATTTATGTTAAAAGAATTAAAATAAAATTATTACAAATGAATAAATAAAATAAGACAATATTTTTAAAATAATTCCATTAATAGAATTTTCTTAGTTAAATATTATGGATATATATTATATATTATTATATTAATTGGGTTGAATTCAGGTATTATAAGGATTGCCCTTAGACTAATGGACCCGATCA